ATATCTGTTGAAATAAAAGTATAGTTACTATAAATAAATAAATAAAAAGAAATACATTTTAAAAAAGATTATTGAAATTGGCTTACCAGTTAGTAGGAGGCAGGCACGAAGGTTGAGGTGGGGTCCCATGACAACCAAGTAGTGGGCCTGGGCCCACAAGTTCAAAATTTTGGACCGTAGCATGTCCCAAACTTCGGCGCTAAAAAAAGGTTCGTCCTCAACCTCCTTCTGTCATCGTCTCTTTCCTTTCTTGCTGCTGAGTTTGTTTTCTTAAACCAGCCCGAAATTTTCGCACCAAAACAAAAAAGTCAAGAAATTTAATTTCTTCCTTCACAAATCACAGCAGTCAATTTGTGTTTCAAATTTCATAATCAAACATTACATATATAACCCCATCTCTCTCTCTCTCTCTCTCTCTCTCTCTCTCTCTCAATTCTGATTTCCCGGGAAATTTTTCAACCCAAACATCACAAGTCCGCTGTCTAAGTTTCTGAGAAAGGGAGAATCAGCAAAAGGAGAATAAAAATTATATCTTTGTAATATCAAAGTAATTAAATTTTACGCATGGAATTCATTGGTTCAATTGCCTGAAACGAGATTTAGAGAGAGCGAAATGGACGAAGAAATGCAGAATTTTATGAGGGAAGCTTACAAGGGAGATGAAATTGATTTGGACTACGAGTTCGACGCGCCTAAGTTCTACGATTTCACTCAGCCCGATTCCGATTTGGAGGACACGGAAGCCGAAGACTGGTTCCGATTCGCCGGAAGTTATCCGCCTTCGCGTAAGCGATTTAGAGAAACATTTCTTTGTTATTTTGCTTCATCATATTCCCAAACAATGAATTTGGATCATCTTCAATCACGACCGTTTCAAGTGACGATCGTTTTCTGCAATTTGATTCAATATCTACGTGTTTAGTTAATTTTGCATCTTAATCAGTATTAATTTTGTATTGTTTTCTTTGTAACAATTTTGGATGCAAGTAGATTAATTTCTTACTTGTATTCATTGAGTGCTTTACAAAAGGCTAACACTAACTCTCTGTTTTTCTTTCTTAATTTTTTGTTATTTTTTTTAGCTTTCATTATAAAATTGTTGATGAATTGGCAAAAAGACATTCCTGTGGAACCTGTAAAAGTCTCTGCTGAATCCAAAGATGTTCAAGGCATTAGAGACAGTGATTCAAATAATTGCATGGAAGCTGAGGTCTCTGCAACAGTAGATGAGAATAACAGAGGTACATTTTAATTTTAATTTTACTAAATATCAATTTTATTCTTCCTTATGATCTCATTTCTTATGATTAACAAGGCATGATATTGTTTCTTACTGTTCTTTTGTATGTTCATGTTTCCAAATTATTAGAATTTTCTAATCACATGGCTCGAGATACTCAAAACCCTAAAACAAGCTCCCCGGCCAAGTCACCGCCTCTATCAAGGGTTTCAACTTTGATGAAACCCACAGCAAGTCAGTTGGCCAAGCAAAATCATCGTCGAGAACCTCACTTGAACCGGTTATCGAGGAGGTGCTAATTTTTTTCTCCCTCTATTGTCATCTCCATTGGCAAAATTGCCTTGCCTTTTCTTTATTTATAAATCACATTTTGCAGTATTCAAAGGTGACACTGTATCATCATGTCCTACTAAAGATTGGTAAGACAAGATTGCCATTTACCAGGTTGTACATAAAGTTGGTGAATGATTTTTCGTTTCGTTTACTGGGGACACATACTTTTTCAAATTTGATGATGTTTCTTTTGTGGATGATCTCTTATTCTTATTGATTGGTGTTTTATTTCTCTATTTCTTCCATTTTCGACTCTTGATTACACAGGTCTGGGAAGAAGCTTGAGAAAGCTGATGTTAATTCACAGAAATCTCCTTCTAGTGATACCCATTGTACTAAAAGACAGAAGTTGGAGGCTGGCTATTTACGCAAGGTGCACCAACTCTTTTTTATTTGGTAGTTTGGCATCTTTGTTGAGGTCTGGAGAGAGTACATGTAGTCTTTTTCCTCAAATTGGTTCTTTATCTTCTGTATACCAGAGGCGTATATGCATGCAATTATGATACATATGAAGTTCAATAGTGATCAATCTTCTAAATGAATTTCTGAAGGGCCCTTATAATTTTGTGAAGCAGGTTGCTGAACATAAGCATCAACCTTTTTGGTTGCACAAGGTGCCAATAAAGGTAATATACATACATACTGCATTGAGGTGTTTGCTGTTCGTAATTAAAAAAACAAGAAAGCAGAAGATTTTGTGCTTGAGATACGAAGAGATTGTGTTTTCATACCAAATAAGAAAAAAATAGTTTTTCATGGTGCAATGCAGGTTGGAGGTGATTTTATCACAGTAAATGCTAGACCTAAAGTAACCATTCCTATAGAACCGAATTTGGAAACGGCACATAGAGCACAAAGACGTAGGTACATTCACTTCTTGCTTGATTTTCATAAAATATTTGGGTTTGATACATGAAGGTCTCCCTAATGAGCTGTTGGGCCATTTTATACACTATGATTTTCAGGTATAAGGTTAATGCCAAACCAGGAGAACAAGCAAAAGCAAGTTCCTATTCCTTTGAACTCCTATTGAATAGAAAAAATAAAAGTTTGCGCTTCAAGTGAATAGTATTTGAAAGAAAAATCAATACTCTTTTGTGATCTTTCATTTCTTTGATATTGGCCTCTGCAGATTCTCAAGGCTCCTCCATTGCCAACCCCTAAAAAGAGCACGGTACCAGCAACAGAATTTCAGGTTATCATAAAACATTTTACTAAGTGACTTGAGGTATCAAATTCCTTTCATAATATTCTTAACAGTTCTTTGTTTGATTGCTATCAGGTGTTTAACCTCAGGACATCGGCAAGAGCTTATGCAATGCAACAGACATTTAATAACGTAAGCCTCCAAAACTTGTTTCATTATTTGGATGTGAACTTTCTTTCTCCACTCTCTCATCATGCCATAATAATCTTTTAATTGCAGGTGACAAATGCACCAAATTCTAATGAAAATACAGAGATTAAAGGGTAACTATCTTTGCTTTCAGAGCTTGTCAATTTTGAAGCTAAAACCTATAAATGAATGTATCATCTCTGTATATAGTTTTACCTTGCACTCGTAAATTTTTCCCACATTCAACACTTGATCCAAGAGTTTTATTTAGTTTAGTTTCGAACACGCGGTTAGGCATCAGTTTTACCACCTTGATGAATTGTAAATTCCATTGTTTATCATCTTCAAGCAGCTATTATTAGAAACTTTATAATCTTAATTGAGATGTATTGTTGCTATCTTAATGTCGTTCTTACTCTTTTGCACAGGCCAACCTTTGGCTATGCCTTAACACAAGAGAAAAGTGGAACGGCTTTCAAATGCACAGCTTGCTCTATTAAAAAGAAGGTAATCTCAATCTGTGTATGCATTTACACTACGGGCTTTGAATTAAGCTTCTCATTGCCAAGGTTAATGTACTGATAAAGTCTTTACGCATATCAGCAAAATTCAAAAATAAAAGATAAACCTTGTTTTGAACCAAGTTTTAAAAGCATGCTTTAACTGTTCCTTAGGAATTCAAGTTTGCAATTGACAAGAAGTTTCTAAAGGAGCCACCAACAGATTTATTTAGTAAGGTACGATCTGATCTAAATGTCTTTGGATATAATTGTATAAATGTAAAAATTGAGAAATCTATGTTTAACTCTGTCTCTTCACGGTCTATCTTGACATGATTGCCAGCTCTCCCTTGCATCTGAAGCCCAGAACAATGCAAAACCTCAGTCCAAAAGTGCCTTTGCCTGCTAAGGTTTTAATCTCTTCCAGAACGTCGTCTGTAAAACCAAAAAGAAAACAGACCAAGCTCCTTTCATCGACAACTCTGAGGTACAATATCAGCCTTTCACAATGTTCCTAATCGAGAATAGTTTCTGGCTCATTAAATTTTCTGAAGAAGCACAAGACTAGCCAAGTTTTAGATATATCAAAATCATATATCTGACTTAATTGAATGCTTCTTTCTACACACCGCTCATAGACCATCAAAGTGTTGATGATGGCAAATGTGGTCACAGAAGCATCATTTTGGCAATGATTTGAGGTTGGGTATTCTATTTTCTGCTGTTATGTTGTGAACGTTACGAGCATGTACCTACAGGTTAAATTTGTTATGCAAATATGAAAGAGAAAAAGGGAAAAAATATTGAATGTCTTAAATTCCCAGTTCATGAAAATATTTTATTTTTTTTTGGGTTCATTTTTTGGAAAGAAAGGGCCCCTCTTATCTTTTGGTTACGGTGCTGAAACCAAGAAATAGAGATTTCCCTGTTACATTGAAAAACCCCACTGTCTTTTGAGTAAAAATTAATTTGGATGCCCTTTTCAGCTCAAGACTGAATGCTCTGAACGACCATAAATTCTCGTGAACTCGTCTTCAGAAATCCAATGGCTTCAGACATTCAACCAAATCTTTGTGGATACTTTCATGACAGTGAAATAATTAACCAGCCAGTGGGTACACCAGAACACTATGACATCAGGGTTTTTTTCTTTTCCTTTCCCTTGTCTGATAATGAGCATATCAACAAAGTCATTATAAAATTACAATTTTTCAATCTTATACGACATCGTTACAAAAGACCTATGCAACAGTGGCAACTTCCAAAAGCCGTCTCGTTAGGACATATATATTGAATTCATCTGCTAGAGCAAAAGGCACTTAAACCCATCTGAACCAAAATTGGGACTCCAAAGTGCGATGCAAAACAAAAGGGGCAAGAAACTTCAATGCGTGTTGTTAGATATAACTTCACCAAACCGTTCAAACCACTGAGCATCAGATGAATTACTCTCTTGCTGAACAGGATGCTGCTGCTGCTGCAATTTTGATTGCTGTTGTCCCTTGTCAACCGCAAATTTAGCATAGTCAATGCCCTTCGAAACAGAACAATGTTTTGTGGGAGGTGAAGGAAGGAGGGAGACTAAAACCCGTGCAACCTCATGCATGGTTGGTCTCTCAATAGGGTTTCGCTTGAGGCACAGCAGAGCAAGTTGGAAGGTCTTCCTGACATGAGATAAATCCATGCAAGTAACAGAGACCTCTGGGTCAACAGTCTCCATTACTGTATTTGTATCCGCTTTGGACAATATCTGAGTGACAAACATACCTCAATGTTAGTTCAGTAACAATGCCACCGAAATAGAACAAACATCAATCAGAGAGTAATACAGAAACGTACCAATTGATGCAAGTTGGATTCCTTGTCCACAGCCTTTTTCCCAGTTAGTAGCTCAAGAAGCACAACCCCAAAGCTATACACATCAGATTTTTCAGTCAGCCGAGAAGTTCGAGCATATTCAGGATCAATGTAGCCAATTGTTCCAAGAACATAAGTTGATGTGTGGGTCTTGGAAGCTGGGATGCTTTTTGCAATTCCAAAATCAGAGAGATGAGCCACGAAATTCTCATCCAGCAAGATGTTAGAAGATTTAACATCCCTGTGAATAATTCGGGGGTTACAATCATGGTGAAGATAAGCAAGTCCCTGTGCAGCTCCAACTGCTATTTTCAACCTTGTTTCCCAATCAAGTTTAACCTTCTTTGCTGGTCCTGTCACGAGCGTTGGCAAAAGAATCAGCAATTGACAATTAATCTCAGCATATTCTAGACTCAAATTGTGCTTCGAGATATCACATGACAATATAACCTTAAATAAACTTAAAAAGTATTCCTTCTGACAGAAATAAGCAACAAGGACAGCTAAGCAAGGCTAACCATGAAGCAGATCCCAGAGAGATCCGTTCTCCATATAGTCATAGAAGAGGAGATTTCCATGTGGTGACAGTGAATACCCATGCAAGCTAACAAGATTTCTATGCTTGATACTGCCAATGGTTGCAAGTTCAGTCTCAAACTCCCGCATGTTGTCTGGATACCGATTGTAAATTCGCTTAATTGCCATTGGTCGGGAATTCTTCAGTACACACTTGTACACTGTGCTAGAAGCACCATACCCTATAATATACTTCTCATTGAGATTCTCAGTAATTCTCATTATATCATCAAAGGTGTGTATGGCCATATCCATGTGAAGGATTACTAGTGTAGGAGGACCTGGAAAGAAAATCAAATGTTAGCTAGGTTGGAGAACAAAAATACAAATGGGAATGTTACTTTAAAAATACAAACGGTTTACATGCCTTGCCCACTCTTGCTAGATCCCATGACTAACTGCTTTGCTTGGTTGGATTTGTAAACCGCAACTATTACCATGGATAATACTGTGATGAAGCCCAATGTCATACAAACAACTGCTGTTCTGGAGAATATAGCTGAGAGTAGAAGTCAGAAGGATAATTTGTTAAATTTGGATGAAACCTAGATGATCGTGACATGCCTTAGATTCCATTTGCACAAAATAACAGAAATAGTTAAAATTTACCCCTGGATTTTGCAGCACAAGGTCTGCATATTGATCCCAACCAGTCGCCACACAACAATGGGTTTCCAATAAAGCTGAAACACAAAACATTATTACCACAAGCAAATATTTAAAAAAGGAATTAACCACATCTTTTCCACCACAAACCTGTCTGGTGAAAAACGTGAAAAGTTCCTCATGGGAGGTATAACACCAGAAAAATTGTTGTATGAGAAATTCCTGAAATTGTGATGAAACAGCATTCAAGAAGGGTTTAGGAAATACAAGAATGAAAATGGGAAAGATTCAAGAAACAGAACTCACAAGGTGGCAAGACTGAAACAATTGGTTAGCTGATCAGGTATCCTTCCATGCAAGTAGTTGTTATTAAGTATCCTACCATAATATGGCACAAAATAGAATTAATATGACAAAATATGTGAAACATGAAAATTGGGACATGACATGATAAAGCGGGGAAAGAGCTTACAACGCCACAAGGTTCTGCAACTGACCCAATTCTGCTGGGATACTTCCAGAAAGATTGTTAAAAGACATATCACTGTAACACATTCATTAAGGTACGGACATATCAGGAGGGCAAAGATTTCACCTATAAAAGTCATAATTACAAAATAGTCCTAATAGAAACTTACATAATTTGAACACTCCTAAGGTTCCCAAATTCTGCTGGCAAAGAACCATCAAGATGATTATCACTCAAATTTCTGCAAGTAAACAAATCAAGGGTCAGGTGCCACAAACAATGAACCTATATAGCAAGTACTTAATGAAGTAAACTTACAAGGTGAGAAGGTGCTCAAGATCACCAACTGAAGCTGGAACAGGGCCTGAAAAATTATTCCTAGACAGATCCCTGGAAAAATGTGAATAGAGTCACTCAAATCAGCATTAAAAGCATGAGGCAACAAAACACGGCACCTAGAAACTTACAGTGTGTCAAGATTGATGATGCGTCCCAACTCAATAGCTATTCTATCACTAAAATAGTTTGATGACAAATTCCTGCAGGTCCAATAAATTTAATGCTATCAATTTACAAGCACAATCAATTGAACCCCAAGTAATAAAGAAAGTTCAAAACCGCAGAACTCACAGATAAGTTAAACTCTGCAGATTGCGGAATGCCAGAGGTATAGACCCAGTCAAGTGGTTCCCGTGTACATTGCTAAAGTAAAATCAACAATCAATGAATAAGAAACTCAATCAATATGCATAACAACACAGAAGCTTGATTAAGGTCAGAAATCAGATATCGTACAATTGATTCAATGCCGTGCAGGAACTGATTTCATGTGGAATGGGACCTTCCAGTTCATTGTTGGCAAGATTCCTGACGCATAACATGCACGTCAGTAAAAGTAAAACTGGGATTACCAAGAGGAATGGTGACAATAAATACTCACAACTCAAACAACTGCTGCAGCTTCCCAAGCTCAGCAGGA